TCTACTTACTGATGAGGAAATGAAGCTCAGAGAGGTAAAGTGACTTGGTTGACATTGTTGTTGTTTAATTGTTAAGCATGTCCGACTCTTTTTTTACGACCCCATGGACTATAGCCTGCCAGGCTCCTCTGTCTATGGGATTTCCCAGGCAAGAATACTGGAGTGGGCTGCCATTTCCTTCTCCTGACCCAGGGATTGAACCCGTGTGTCCTGCATTGTAGGCAGATTCTTTACAACTGAGCCCCCTGGGAAGCCCCTTGACTGACATCTTCCTGCGGGAATGGCAAGGCAGCGAGCTCATGCCGCTGTTCTTGTAGCAGTCATCTCAGGGAGGGTTCTGGATTAGAGAAAAACACAAGGGCCTCTCTTGAGAGCCAGTACAGGCAAGAAGATCTGGTGTGGGCTTCTGCCAGTGGATACCAAAAACGTCTGAGGAAGGAAAAGGGAAGGAAGCAAACAAGGAAACACACTGGCCTTGGGTTCTGAGCCGCCAAGCCTGATGTCGCGATCCCAGCACAGCTGACATTTCCAGGTCTGTAGGCCAGGCTTGACATTGCTGGGTAAGTTGCTTCAGGGCTGCCCTGGTGGCCCCAATGGGAAAGAATCTGCCTGCATTGCGGGAGACGTGGGTTCGATCCGTGGGTCGGAAGGATCCCCTGGAGAAGGGAATGGCAACCCACTCCAATATTCTTGCCTGGAGAATTCTATGGACAGAGGAGCCTGGCGGGCTACACCCCACGGGGTTGCAAAGAGTCCTACGCGACTGAGCCACTAACACTTTGCAACTTCCAAGTCGCTTCAAAATAATCTAGGCGTTGACCTCTTGTTTGGAACCTCAGTGACAGCCACGGTGGCAGCGTGTTGGGGCATGGTCCCTGTCTGGGCCATCAGCAAAGCTGGCACCAGCTGGAGCTTCCAACTCACCTCTGGGCAAGTGGCCCTGAGCTCCAGGAGCAGGGACAGCCCTGCGTCCGAAGCAGCCCTCTCACCAAGGGACTTCTGCCACATTTAAAAATGAGCCGTCCGTGACTGTGTGCTGCCTTTTAAAATATTTAGTGAGTTTTTTGAATAGAAGAATGTTCTGAGTGGCTCTTCAAAGCCTTTCTGACATTGTTCAGTTTTCAAAAGTGAGCAGTCCCAGTGCTCAAGGCTACTTCTAGGCAACAGATAACCGTGAAGTGGAAGTATGGAAATGAACATTTTATTTAAAAAAGAAAAGTTACAGGGGAGAGTGGAAAGAGCATTGTCTAGGAAGGGCCTTTGAGGACTGGGAGATTTAAAAACACTGGAAGCTGTCAGATCCTGAGATAGACCATCCCCTGCTGTGAATCTTGCTTTGGCGTGGAGGGAAGTGAGGGGACCAGATTGTTCAAAGGCAAGGAGAAGTGCTTACCCTGGCATGATCTGGAACCCTGGAGTCCGATTTGGTGGGTGCACAGAGCTCTTCCCCACCTGATGATGAATTCCAAACAGGTTAACTTCCTTCTCCGGCTTTCCTGGTGGCTCAGTGGTAAAGAATCTGCCTGCCAATGCAGGAGACACAGGTTTGATCCCTGGGTCGCAAAGAAACCCCTGGAGGAGGAAATAACTATCCACCCCAGTATTTTTGCCTGGGAAATCTCATGGACAGAAGAGCCTGGCTGGCAACAGTCCATGGGGTCGCGAAAGAGTTGGACAGGACTGAAGGACAAAACTACAGCAAGCAAAACTTCCTCCTTAGACTTCTCTAAGTTAGAGTCTTATAAATGTCTTTCACTCTTTTTGTTTTGTCTTTTTTTTTTTTAATAAGAAATGGAAACCTCTGAGTTCTTTAGAACATGCAGCTACATGCTTCTCAGCAGCTGCTGCTTGAGTTTAAGAAAATATATTTTAATTGGCCATTTCATTCCTGGCCTGCCTGAGAATTTTGTACTGTCTTCTGATACCCGCATTCCTTAGGGGCGGTAGAACTTTCTAGAAAGTGTGTGGCCATCCGAACAAGGATCAGGAAGTGCTCCGGAGAGACCCAAGGAAATGAAGATGATGAAGAAAGAGGTTATGGGAAGGGAGACGGCCCAACTTGAAAACACAAGGAACCAGAGCGTCTGTGTGTGTGGAACTCGGTTACTGAGAGTGGCTGGAGCCCAGGCGCAGAGTCCACGTGCTCTTTTTTTTTTTTTAATTCATTTGTATTGAATTACAGCTGAAACCAGTGGATTTTTAGAATTGTTTATTGGCTGTGCCGGGTCCTTGTTTTTCTCCTTGCGGTGCTCATTGTGGTGGCTTCTGTCTCGCAGAGCACAGCTCTAGGGCGCGTGGGCTCGGTAGGTAGTTGTGGTTCCTGAGCTCCAGAGCACAGGCTCAATAGTTGAGGTGCACAGGCTGAGTTGCTCTGAGGCACGTGGGCTCTTCCTGGATCAGGGATCGAACCCACATCTCCTGCACTGGCAGGCGGCTTCATTACCGCCAAGCCACCAGGGAAGTCCAGTGCTCTTTAATTGGAAGATCTATGGCCTTGTGGGAGGTGGTGCTTCATTTGTGTTATTAGCTCCTGGTGTCAGGGAGGGATGTTTTCTTTATCTTCTTTTTATTACTTATTTATTCTGCTTCGTTCCAGAGAAGGATTTGAGGAGGGCTAAACACTATGGCGTCTGGCCAGCTCTCCCGTGAGACTGGCCAGCTCTCCCGTGAGACTGAGGTGAACCGTTTGGTCGTTCCCCACATATATCACCTAATAAGCCAGGACAGGAGATGGTGCCTCCAAGAAGGCTGTGCATCTCTGGGCTGTAGCATCGTCATGTGCCAGCAGGGACATGGTCCTGGCCTGGGCTCCCTCAGTGGTCATGCAACGATGAAATGCACCAAAAAAAAAAAAAAAAAAGGCCTTTTGTTGCGATAGCGAGGAGGCACGCAGGAAGGGAAGGCTGAGGTGTTGGTGTGGCCTTACTGCTCCCAAAGCGAGGAACACGGCTGCCCAGGGCCTTGGGAAGGCCTCCCTGCCCATTTCTTGGGGGAAGATTCTCCTGAGGGCCTCCAGCATGGGGAACTGAATTACGCAGACATGCTGGGAGAAGGAAGTTGCCCAGACACCCCGGGGAAAGAAAACGGCCTCAGAAGTTCTCCTGGAGCTGGGTTTAAAAACGAGGGGAAGCTGAGCTTTGGAATCCTTTTTCCCTTTCTGTCTGCTCCCCCATCACCCACTCACTGGTGGTGGGTGGAGACACATGTCCTGCTGGACACGAGTGTGCCGTGATGACCAGGCTTGGAAGGCATGTCTGGGTTCCAGGCAGTGGGTGATCTGGCCCAGTTGGGTCCGTGTTGCGGAGAATCTCCATGCTGACCCCTGACTCCTGGGGGACCCCGCACGCTGCATGGCTCAGGGAGGTCCAGGCCCCTTTAACGCCGTCAAGTCTAACCCGTAAGGAACTCGGGGCATTTGTTCTCAGAGTCCACAGAGTTCATGCTGCTAAGGGTGAAGCCCCCAAGAAACATACTTCTCGGGTGGGAATCAAGGAAACAAAAACTCCATCTCTCTGTGGGATTTCAGAAGTCCCTCCTCTCTCGAGGAGGGGCTGTACTCCCCCTCCCCTTCCTGATCCTGGGTTTGGAAACTAACATGCACCTTTGGCTCCACTGGGGAGTTTGCAGCTACTGTACTTTATCAGTGTTAAAATCTTCCAGGTACAAGGAAGTCTGAAAAAACAAAAAGGGTTTTTTTTTTCCAAGACCTCGGCTGTGACGCCATGTTCCCTTTCCCTTCCCTGGCCAGCGAGCGAGTCTGCTGGGGGAGGGCAGGGCCTGCCCACACCTGTCCGGTTTCACGTGGGGTGTTAGGAGAGCTTCAGGCTGGAGAAGCAGCTAGTTTCACCCGCAGGTTAACGCTGGCCACGAAATAGGTGCTGGTTGGAAGGTCCAGGCTCCCATTTTGTGACCGCCCTCAATGATGGACAAAGACAGGGACGTTTTGGCTCCACGCCACCAGCATCCACCAACACTGGCTGCCAATGCCAGAGCCAGTTTGTCACAAACTCACACTTGCTACTGTTCATCCTGATCGCCCTGTCAGATGTGACACTCTTTCATTCAGCCTCCTGACAAGGGACCTCATATAGGCCAGTGCCCCCTGCCCCGAGGGGTCTCAAGGCCAGAGTCCATGCTGTGATTGGGGGGGGGGGGGTGTGTGTGAAGCCATTAGGTCAGTGATGAGGGGTGGGTAGCTGCCAGCCAGTAGTGATGTTCTTATGATGCTGAAGTCCCGTTCCTATGTGCATCCATGTTTAACTTGGACGGTGCTTTCTGCACAGACACTGGTGTATGAAACCCTACGATTTCCTGTAGTTCAACTCCCAAATGACGCAGAGGTTATCAGCCAGTTCTCTTAAAATGTTTGCGAGGTGATTCAGTTTGATTTGTGTTTCTTAGAACTTCCTTGGATGGAAGATTTGCCTAGTCATGACTGGGTGGGGAGGGGGGGGGAGTTGTTTTGTCCCCCAGAGAGGTTTGGCAATGCCTGGAGAGATTTTTGATCCTCATGACTGGGAGGGGAGGGAGTGAGACTGGCTTCTAGTGGGTAAGCCTCCAAACATCCTACAAGGCACAGGACAGTACCCACCGCCCCTCCCCCACCCCACCCCCAAAGAATTATCAGGGGCTACATGATGGCTGAACTTTGCCCCGCTATCTTTTAGGTAGCCCAGCCTTTGTATACTTCCCATTGTTGGAATCAGGCATTCTCACAAATAACATCTCCTTTGGCTTCTGAGATGATGGGTTTAAAGACATCATGTTATAGGGGCACAGAGCGAGGTCTACCAATTGGAGTAACTTGCTAAGGCCGCCACACAGAAGCTTCTCTAGCCTATCCGTCAGGGGGTCTGCCAGGGGGTCTGCCTGGGCGTCGCCGGCCTGGGCCTGCTCGGCAGTGGTCCGCTGCTGCCCCGAGAGCCGTGAGCCTGCGGCGCGCGCGCCCCCGCCCGCATCTCATGTCTCTCTTGCCTCTTTCTGTCCGTGTGTCTCCCCAGGTAAAGATGAGCCTTCCAGCTACATTTGCACAACATGCAAGCAGCCCTTCAACAGCGCGTGGTTCCTGCTGCAGCACGCGCAGAACACGCACGGCTTTCGCATCTACCTGGAGCCCGGGCCGGCCAGCAGCTCGCTCACGCCGCGGCTCACCATCCCGCCGCCGCTGGGGCCCGAGGCCGTGGCCCAGTCCCCACTCATGAATTTCCTGGGCGACAGCAACCCCTTCAACCTGCTGCGCATGACGGGTCCCATCCTGCGGGACCACCCGGGCTTCGGCGAGGGCCGCCTGCCGGGCACGCCGCCGCTCTTCAGCCCGCCGCCGCGCCACCACCTGGACCCGCACCGCCTCAGCGCCGAGGAGATGGGGCTTGTCGCCCAGCACCCCAGTGCCTTCGACCGAGTCATGCGCCTGAACCCCATGGCCATCGACTCGCCCGCCATGGACTTCTCGCGGCGGCTCCGCGAGCTGGCGGGCAACAGCTCCACGCCGCCACCCGTGTCCCCGGGCCGCGGCAACCCTATGCACCGGCTCCTGAACCCCTTCCAGCCCAGCCCCAAGTCCCCGTTCCTGAGCACGCCGCCGCTGCCGCCCATGCCCCCCGGCGGCACGCCGCCACCACAGCCGCCGGCCAAGAGCAAGTCGTGCGAGTTCTGCGGCAAGACCTTCAAGTTCCAGAGCAATCTCATCGTGCACCGGCGCAGCCACACGGGCGAGAAGCCCTACAAGTGCCAGCTGTGCGACCACGCGTGCTCGCAGGCGAGCAAGCTCAAGCGCCACATGAAGACGCACATGCACAAGGCCGGCTCGTTGGCCGGCCGCTCCGACGACGGGCTCTCGGCCGCCAGCTCCCCGGAGCCCGGCACCAGCGAGCTGACCGGCGAGGGCCTCAAGGCGGCCGACGGCGACTTCCGCCACCACGAGAGCGACCCGTCGCTGGGCCATGAGCCCGAGGAGGAGGACGAAGAGGAGGAGGAGGAGGAGGAGGAGCTGCTGCTCGAGAACGAGAGCCGGCCCGAGTCGAGCTTCAGCATGGACTCGGAGCTGAGCCGCAACCGGGAGAACGGTGGCGGCGGCGGCGGCGGGGCGGCCGGCGTGCCGGGAGCGGGACGGCGGCGGCTTCGCGCCGGGCACCGAGCCCTTCCCGGGCCTCTTCCCGCGCAAGCCGGCGCCGCTGCCCAGTCCCGGCCTCAACAGCGCGGCCAAGCGCATCAAGGTGGAGAAGGACCTAGAGCTGCCGCCTGCCGCGCTCATCCCGTCGGAGAACGTGTACTCGCAGTGGCTGGTGGGTTACGCGGCGTCGCGGCACTTCATGAAGGACCCCTTCCTGGGCTTCACGGACGCGCGCCAGTCGCCCTTCGCCACGTCGTCCGAGCACTCGTCCGAGAACGGCAGCCTGCGCTTCTCCACGCCGCCCGGGGACCTGCTGGACGGCGGGCTGTCGGGCCGCAGCGGCACGGCCAGCGGGGGCAGCACGCCGCACCTGGGCGGCCCGGGCCCCGGGCGGCCGAGCTCCAAGGAGGGCCGGCGCAGCGACACGTGCGAGTACTGCGGCAAGGTGTTCAAGAACTGCAGCAACCTGACGGTGCACCGACGGAGCCACACCGGCGAGCGGCCTTACAAGTGCGAGCTGTGCAACTACGCGTGTGCGCAGAGCAGCAAGCTCACGCGCCACATGAAGACGCACGGGCAGATCGGCAAGGAGGTGTACCGCTGCGACATCTGCCAAATGCCCTTCAGCGTCTATAGCACCCTGGAGAAACACATGAAAAAGTGGCACGGCGAGCACTTGCTGACTAACGACGTCAAAATCGAGCAGGCGGAGAGGAGCTAAGTGCGTGTGCGCGTGTGTGTGCGCGCGCACGCGCGGGGGCCCGGGCCCCACCCCGCGCACCTGTACAGTCGCCCCGTCGCCAAGCGAGAGAATGCTGACCTGACACTTGCCTCCGCGTCACCGCCGCTCGGCGCCCCCCGCGGGTCCCCGGGGCCCAGGGGAGGCGGCCCTCCAACCTAACCTGTGTCTGCGAAGTCCTATGGAAACCCGAGGGTTGATTAAGGCAGTAAAAGCAAACAAACAAACAAAAAAATTGTGGAGCCTTTTAACTGTGCAATAATTTCTGTATTTATTGGGTTTTGTAATTGTTTTGGCATGTGCAGGTACTTTTTATTGTTATTCTTTCTGTTGAAATTCCTTTAAGAGATTTTGTTGGGTATCCATCCCTTCTTTAGTTGGTGTTTTTTTTTTTTTTTTTTTCTTCTTTAACCCAGTAGTAGCCTGAGCGTTGACTCCTGGGCTCTGTAGAGGGGAAACTATCTTTTAAATTATAATTTGGGGGAGGGGGGGAGGGCGCTGCTTTTTTTGAAATCTAAGCTAAGCATGTGTAATTTCTTGTGAAGAAGCCAACACTTAAATGACTTTTAAAGTTGTTTACTTTTTTATTCCTTCTTTTTTTTTGTCCTGAAATAAAAAGTGGCATGCATTTTTGGGGGGGAGGGGGGTGGATGTACAGCGGATAACAATCTTTAAAGTTGTAGCACTTTGTTTCAGAATTGGAATGGAGATGTAGCACTGATGATGTCCTGAGTAAGGGAGGCCTTTTCTGTGTTGACTTCAACCTTGCCATACATAAGGAAACCTTTGAATGGTGGGCTTTCCCTCCCCCCACCTCCCCTAATACTCAGCACTGCAAGAGAAACAGGAGTTTTTGAGGACTTTACCCCAGGAAATGGCCCAAGAGCGTTCTAAAATTGTGCATTCCCAGCAAATCCCATCCGTTTCTTGGGATGTCGGTGTGCCCTGGAATGCCATCTCTGCTATTTGCCATAGATTAGACTAAATAAAATAGGCTGAAGGTACTTTGGGGGGTAGATAGATGGTGGTGGCCTGCAATAACACAGAAAGGAAAGAAACCAGCCGTGTTCTTTCAGGCTTCTTCTGGCTTGACCGTTTCTCTCTCTCTTTTTATCACCCTCACCACAGAAATCCTAAGTCATCCGTTGCTACCAGTGACAACAGACCGTTTCTCAAGCAGACAAGTGTCCTGATGGTGACTTGAGGGAAGTTAGTATTCTCTCATGCAATGCACACTGATGACATTATACGGATGGGGTGGGGAATCTTGCCAATTTCAGTTCCCTTTTACTGCCAAGCGGGAAGAGTTCCATCCGAAGGTGCCCAGCGCTACTTCCCAGTTTTTTTTTTTTTTTCTATCCCGTTAGGTTGGAAGGTACTAAACATTGGACTGTTCAGATTAGACATTTGAATTCTGTTGACCCGCACTTTAAAGCTTTTGTTTGCATTTAAATTAAATGGCTTCTCAACAAGAAATTGCAGCATCTTCTTCTTTTTGGCCCAGAGGTGGGTTAAACTGTAAGGGATGGCTGAGATTGAGTGTCAGTATTGCTAAGCGTGGCATTCACAGTACTGGCACTATAAAGAACAAAATAAAATAATAATTTATTGGACAGTGTTTCTACTGCCATTCAATTTGATGTGAGTGCCTTGAAAACTGATCTTCCTATTTGAGTCTCTTGAGACAAATGCAAAACTTTTTTTTTCTTTTGCAATGAAAAGACTTTTTTAAAAAAAGTAAAACAAGAAAGTACATTTCTTTAGAAACAAAGCCACATTTACTTTAAATAAATTTTCAAAAATCCTGGTTGAAGACGTGAAAATGCCATAAGACCCAATCAAATGAAGAAATAAACCCAGCACAACCCTGGATATCCATTAGCTGAATTAACCTCAGCCCCTTTTGCCTGTGGGACAACGCTGCTTAGATGTGGAGTGGAGGTGACTTACTGCTGAATTAAAACTCAAGTGACACAAGGTACAAGTTGATATTGTTGAATGAAAAAACAATTCAGGAACAATGGCTAATTTTTTTCTAAAGTTAAATTTCGTGCACTCTGTCTTAAAAATACGTTTACAGTATTGGATACATACAAGGGTAAAAAAAAAATTGTGTGTATGTGTGTTGGAGCGATCGTTTTTTTCAAAGTTTGCTTAATAGGTTATTAAAAAAAATGCCACAGTGGCTGCGTGTATATTGTTTTCTTTTGGTGACGGGGTTTTAGTATATATTATATATATGAAAATTTCTTGATTACTGTAAAAGTGGACCAGTATTTGTAATAATCGAGAATGCCTGGGCATTTGACAAAACAAGAAAAAAAAAAAAAACCCTTTTCTTTTCCTTGAAAATGTTGCAGTAAAATTTAAATGGTGGGTCTATAATAATTTGTTCTTGTCACAGTAACTGTAAAGTCGGAGTTTTAGTAAATTTTTTTCTGCCTTGGGTGTTGAATTTTTATTTCAAAAAAATGTATAGAAACTTGTATTTGGGGATTAAAAGGGGATTGCTACACCATGTAGAAAAAGTATGTAGAAAAAAAGTGCTTAATATTGTTATTGCTTTGCAGAAAAAACCCCCCACATTTCTGATCTGTGCTTAATTCTCTCCTCCCACCTCCCTCTGGAATGGATATATTGGTTGGTTCATATGATGTAGGCACTTGCTGTATTTTTACTGGAGCTTGTAATTTTTTAACTGTAAGCTTGTCCTTTTAAAGGGATTTAATGTACCTTTTTGTTAGTGAATTTGGAAATAAAAAGAAAAAAAAAACAAAAACAAGCAGGCTGCCATAATATATTTTTTTAATTTGGCAGGATAAAATATTGCAAAAAAAAAAAATTTGTATGTTAAGTCCTATTGTACAGGAGGAAAAAAAAAAGGGTTGTTTGACAACCTTCGAGGAAAAGAAACAAAAGGAAGTAGCTAAATGCTTTGGTTCACAAATCATTTTAGTTGTATATATTTTTGTCAGAATTGGCCTCTACCAAGGACTGTTCAAAATAGGGCTTCAATCTGAATGCCCTGAACCTTGCATCAAGGCTCCCTGGTGTGGCCACAGCAGACCGGATGGGAAATTCTTTATTTGCGTTGAGTGGAGAAATCAGTTTTTTTGTCAAGATGTCGGTACCATTTCACAGAGCCCTCCCTCCTATACGAGGCATCTGTAAAGATGTCAGACTTGGGGGAGCGAGCGCACGCCTTCTCTTCACCGCCACCACCACCTCTCCCACCCTTCAGAGCAGAAAGAAATGCAAACCGAGCTTTCTCTAGTCCTTGAGAGAACGTCAAGCAAGCAAGCAACACAAGACAAAAAATTGTAATAAAGGGAGCTGGCGTATCAGCCAGGCGCAGGTGACGTGGTCTGCGGCTGGGACCAGGGCAAATTGAATTTCAGGAAGGAGTCCCCATCACAGCCAGGACCTTTTAATCTGTGGAGAGTGGTGGCCTGCTGTCTTTCTTACCTGCTCCGCTGCTTTCTCTCCGGAACCTACATTCCGTCAGTTTCCAAATGCCTAGGGCCTGGGACGAATTCGGTGCCTTTCCACAGTTCTTTCTCTTTCCTTCCCGTGTGTTTCCTCTCCATCTTCCCACCTCTGTCAGTCCTTGATGTGCTCATTTTTATCTGATTTATTTCTCCCTCTCTGTCCCCCCACCCCCACCCCTCTTTTTTTTTTGTAAAGCCAAGTAGCTTTAAGATAATAAAGTGGTGGTTTTTTGGATGAGGGAATAATACGTTTTAAAAAAATACCTATATCAGGAAGCCATTTTTTATTTCAGGAACTCTAAGAAATCATTATATTTCAGGTTATGAAAGTATAAGCAAGCATCCTTTCGGGCAATTTCTTTACCAAATGCAGAAATATCTCTTCTGGGCGCTTTTCTGTTTAATACGCTTTTCCTCTTGCCACTTACCTTTGCAAAGTAAAAAGAATGGGGGAGGAGGTGGAAGATCAAGCTGAGATGTTTGTTTCCTACCTGTTCGACCCGAAGACCCACGGGCTGCCCTTTTTTCCGGGTGCCCTGGGGAGGTCGTTGAGCAGCCTCCTAGGCGATCCTCCTGTAGTTACAAAAGCTAGCCAGCTCTCACCAGCTTCCGCAAAGTCACCACGATGCCAGAATCAAGCCATCCTAAAGCACAAAGATTGTGTCTCTGTCGACTGCAGAGAAATGAGCATTTTTGCTTCTCTTTTTTTGTGTTTAAAAAGCCAACACTGAAGCAGATGACCCAGTGAGAGAGGCCCCGGGCCCCAGGGGGACCCAGCCGACCCCAGGCTGGTTTTCCACACTGCCACAACTTGGTTCAAAGTTGCCCCCAATTGGAACCTGCCACTTGCCATTTGAGGGTCTTTCATGGGGGAGGAGGAGGAGGCTGACTTCCTCTAAGCAACAATGTGAAAAGTAGGGAAGTCAGTCATTCGTTCCGGTCCTAAGTGACAGTCAAGGATTTTTGTGGAACACAGGCAAACCCATGAATTTTGGTGCTCCTTGTATCAGCTCTGCGAAGCAAAGTTACATTGAGTTAAGTTGTTTGCATTTGTACTGGCAAGGCGAAATATTTTTATTACCTTTTCTATTACTTATTGTATGAGCTTTTGTTGTTTACTTGGAGGTTCTGTCTTTTACTACAAGTTTGGAACTATTTATTATTGCTTGGTATTTGTGCTCTGTTTAAGAAACGGGCACTTTTTTTTTAATTATGGATAAAATGTTGAGATGACAGGAGGTCATTTCAATATGGCTTAGTAAAATATTTATTGTTCCTTTTATTCTCTGTACAAGATTTTGGGCCTCTTTTTTTTCCCTTAATGTCACAATGTTTAGTTCAGCATGTGTCTGCCATTTCATTTGTACGCTTGTTCAAAACCAAGTTTGTTCTGGTTTCAAGTTATAAAAATAAATTGGACATTTAACTTGATCTCCAAACCTTGTCCTTTTCTGTGTCTTTCAAGGGTAGGGGATGGACAGCTTATTTCCAAGG